AATAAAATTCGTATTTATAAATTATATAAACTTTTAATTTAAAAATATAAAACAGTTAACATAAACAATTATGTATATAATTTACATACTATGAATAAGTACCTAACCTATTCGACTAATTTAATATTATATTAAGTTAAAATGTCATACAATGTATCTTTTAAAGACTATTAATACATTTAAGCAAATATTACGACCGAAAATGTTTATTCAACAGCGTAAAACGTTGTATACTGGAAAACATTAAGTTAGTGATAAAATTAATTGTCTTTAGATTGGTACTTATGTGTCATATACGTATAATTTCTAAGAGCAAGAAAATTAACATAACATATTTACTTTTAATATTATTATGARTTAGGTTTTTCATCAATTAATTCAACAACTTAAAACTATGTTAATATTATACTAAATTTAATAATATTACTTCTTAGTCATAATTAAAAAAAAATTATATCATTTTAACATTAATGAAAACAGTTTGAGAACTTGTAACCCAAATAAACACGATTGTTAATACCTAGTGTGTTTGGCGTAGGTAACAAAATTGTGCAAATATTGTTATGTGCTAATAATTCGTATATGTTAAAAACCATCGTGTTGAAGGCTCAGTGTTATTTTTAGTTAATTTAGTTAATAAGGTGAAGTATTTTCTAACATTTATTTACATTGTTGATTGTACCTATAATTGCATTTATATACATTGTTTTTTTTTATTATTATTATTGTTAGCGATAGTTAAGGTTTTTTGTTGATAATTTTTTTTAAACTGAAATACGACTCGTATAACATTATTTTGGGCTGGTTGTATCATAAAGTAAAGAGATTTTAGTTATTCGTTGCTCACTGAATTAAATGTTAGTATTAGCAAATTAGAAACTATTCTCAGCAAGTTTTTCCATTATAGGTATTTTAACATAACATAATTTATTTGCTTATCATACCTTTGAATTGGTTTTAAGGTGGTATGCGGTATATAAGTTTATACTATCGTCCTATTGCGAGCTATGCCCCACATCACACCTCCGACCCCCCTCCCTTGATCAATAAATTTCATAGATTATAATATTTTATTAATTTGTTACTATGAATTAAATGAGGTAAATGGCATAATAATATTATCTTTTAACTTACTATGAGACGTACAATTTTCTTGTGATATTATATTATAATTTTTGAGGAAGGKATCGTAGTTTTTATTGTAGTAAAATAAAAAATAAACTTAACTATGATAATGTCCATAAATTCTTATTTTAAAATTTTAAAATTTCTTAAAGTCAAGTGTTTAATTATGGTTATTTAAAAAAAGTCTCGGGGGGGGGGATATATCCACATATACTCCCCCATTATTTAGCCACTGAATGTTTTCTATAATTCAATAAGTACCCACTTATAGTTTTTTTTCGAATGTAAATAAATTCTTATTAAAATATTTGTAATAAAAATCTTTGAAATACAATACAATTTCGTAGAATTATTCAATTACAATTATTGAATAAATATTTGATTTTTTTTAAAGTTACAAACCTATATTAATTTATACTATAAATAATATAGGTATCCAGGGGCAGATAATTTTGATAGAAGGTGGCACATATAAATTTTATAATGATTCTTAAATCATAATTAATAATACGTACAACGTACTCTTATTTTTAAACAAAATTGGTAGTATATTTAATATAATGTCGATAACATAATATCACATATCAAAATAATAATTTATACAAATAGGCAAGTTATTATACATATATTATGTAGTCATTGATAATTAAACTTATATTTATAGATTCTCATACTTTATTGTCTCATAGGTCGAATTTAAATCTGATTTTATATTTTTTAGCAAACATATCAAGTACTTCTTCTGGTTTTGCTTAAATACCTTTATTTATATGTAACATTGCTAAGCCGTCGCTTAGTAACATCGCTGTTCTGGTCTATTGTCGATCGTAGGTAAATTTTAATCCTTTTTAAAGAACTGAATGACCTCTCAGCACTTACTGTTGTTATAGGTATGAAACTAAGAATTGTTAAGACATTTAATGTTAGGAAACATACATGCATATTTAAAAGCTTCCATTGAAGAATCAGTCTTTCTGACTTGTTTTTCTAAAATTGTTTCTATAAATATAACTCACTGTGTAGTGCTTCAACACTATGAGGTAAATCTGCTTCATATGTCTGAGCCGCATTCAATATTTTATCGTCTGAAGTTTCATAGGCAAAATAATATTTTAGGAATGATCATCGCTTCCAAATAAAACGCATATTCGATAAAAAGCTCTTCCGAGTTTTTGGCTATAAGACAACCAGCGATACTCATTTATCCAGTAAAGTTTAAAGAAAAGATTTTTATCTCCTTGAGGAAAAATTAAAGGAAAAATAAAATTTTCATGTGGAACCCACAGATCACGTAGAACATCATAAAGTTCGTCGTCGTAATAAATAGTTTGTCATAATTACACTAAGCTTAATAGTGACGGTTTTGGTTGTATTGTTATAAATAAATAGGTATCGATAAGACACTAAGCTGTAAGTCTTTTTGTCAGTTTAAATGTAAATAATGATTATACTGGTACCTAGGTAGTATTATTCTTATTTACTGTATTTTTCATTTATATAATACTCGTAGTAACATGAAAAAATTGACAGGGGGTACGTGCACCTGTGCCCATACCTTGAATCCGCAACTTTTAATTTGATATCTAAGATATCAAATTAAAAAATAATAAACACTGAATAAATTCAACGAAAATAAGAAATTAAAAACCAAGCCTGATCACTATAAGGAGTCATTATTAAATGTAAATAAAAATAGTAAATAGTAAATATTTTAATAATGTAGGGAATATCTAAAGAACAAAACAAAAACATAATTCATTTAGAAAACGTGGAATTAATTTTAAGTTTCGTGTTCATAGTCGAGGCGAAAAGAACGAGACCTCTCATCAATAGACTGTGTTTCGTCTTGCATTGTATGTTTGTACACATTATACTTGTAATTCGTTACAGGCGTTACAGTAGACTTTTTTGTTGGTATTATCAGAGTGCGATGCCGATTAGATTAGTTCTGATAGTTCATATTTTCATAAGAATTTTAAAATAATCTACAATATAACYACTTATCCTTAAATTACGATATCGATTTGATGGCGGGTGATAGGTGACGATTTTTGTCTAAATTATTTCACAACAAATTAAATAATGATTGTTCCTGAATAGTACATGATTTGGAAACACGATAATATTGCTGTGATGTACAAGTGATCTACATTTTAAGCATAATATAGGTAGGCCAAAGTCGGTTTTGATCTCCAAACTTGTGTTGATAGGAAAAATTTGAAACAGAATTAACAGAAATTTATTTTAAGTATAAACTATATATTATAAACTACATAAACAGAGTAGGTTATGTTTGAAATTTAATATTTGTAAAATGTAAATTGATTTTATATTTGATAAATGTGTCTAGACTCTAAACTATAARGGCAGTGATATCTACCGTAGCAGTCGTTCTAAAAMACTATGAAAATTCCCGKGACTGCCTTCTAGTCATTTTTATTGCTAGATAGCGCTACCGTATACGATTTTCGTTATTTATTAAAGATAARTGTCTCCAAATGTGTATGACGTGCTGTCTACATTGAAAATAAAATATTACATTATGTTTAAACTATGGTCCTATTTTGTTAACATAAGCATACAACAATTTTGGAAAATGTATAAAGAATTAGCTTATATATGACTATTGTATTCACGAGAAGCTCAATAAATGTTGGAGATTTTTACTGACGTAAAAAAAAAAAATTAAATATGTGTTCATCAATTAGCTTTAAATTGTGTCTTGTGTGCATTTAATATGAAGGTATAAATTTTATTCAATATTATATGCACTACTTGGGGTTAATTCAAGTATTTCAATGTGAACTACTATAATTTATAATTTAAATAAATGCACTGCTATAATATGAACAATCATGTTTGATACTTGATAGTTGATACTTGATTCTTGATTAGGTATATCCATATTCTATACTCTTTACTTCTTCTTGTTGGGTAATTTGATTTTAGATTTTTATGTTTAGTTAGGATTTGTAATTATGGTAACATGTTTTTCTATTTTAAGAGTTAAATTAACAATTGGTATTATTTTAGATAGGTATAATTTACATAAACTATATAATTTAATAATATTATATTTAATGTTCATATTCCGAATGTTTTTTRAATTTTTTTCAACAAAAATAATAGGTTTTAAAAAAATATTCTTTATTTTATATTATCATTAACGCTTTTCTTCAGTATTCATAAATCAATATCCACATTAAATTTACAGTAATGATATGAAAATTATTTACTAATCTATTCAATTTTTATTAGGTATACATAACATGTTTTTTTTAAATATTTAACATTTTCTGCTATATAGCTACCTAAACTTGATATTTCGAAAATCATTGTTATATATAAAAATATATCGTGTAAATTTAGATGCATYAGCTTTATTATAAGAAGTTTATTATGTGCATAAAAATATTTTGGTAATGATTGTTTCATGGCCATTATATTTTTATAAAACTGGTTTCGATTAGTTTGTATTCATAATTAWTAATATTTAGCCACTAGTAAGCCTTCAGTCGGCAGTCACTACTCAATACTCTTTGTAGCTTTACATCATCTTACAGGTTACAACAAAGTTCAAATAATATTTTGAATAAAAATGATTTCTATAAAACATCAAAAATTCCTTTCAAAATGTGTTTTATTAATTTTATATCTAGATTGTGTAAAATGCTCAGGTATTCTAAAATTATTGATATGTATCTTAATAATTTAAGTTTATTTTGGAAACATAGTATCCTATAATTAAAATATCTATTTGTTTTAAGGTTGTAACAGTAATAAATTATTGTATACAGAAATTGGATGTAAACCTATAATTGAAAATGATTCAAATTCTTGTCCAGTGGCATACGACTGTGGTAAAGTTTCTCTTTGTCGGAATGAACATTTTTTATAATTTTAATTTAATTTTTGTAGAAAACGTGTTTACGAGATCAWGTGACAAGTGTTATTTTAATGGAAATATCTATGCACCAAGAGCTAATATCTCTAAGAATGACTCAGCATTAAGCTTATGTGTATCCAGTTGCTTCTGCGATCAGAAAACAAACGATAAGTAAATAATAAGTACATTAAAAATCAGTATGTTTAGACGTTTAGTAGAAGTTTGTAATCAAATTATATGGTTCTTAATATTCACTGAAATATAGTAAAGTTATCGTGAAAAGTTAAAGATAAAACTCTACCT